TTGTCCGGCCGGGAGCCCCGAGCCGCCCGCCGGGCCGGCTCCCACGTGGCTTTCGGAGCGCGGCCCGGGCCGCAGGGCTCTCCCGGCAGGGCTGTCCCCGGCAGGGCGCTCCTCGGCAGGGCTGTCCCCGGTAGGGCGCTCCTCGGCAGGGCGCTCCCCGCAGTGCCGCCCCACCGAGAGAGCCCCTGCCCGCCGCCGGCCCTCCCGCAGCCCGCGCCGCCACCTCCGCTTCCCCTCAGCGCTTCCCCGCGGCATCACGTGTGGTGAGGGCGGACCGACCCCGCCCCGCTCTGCCCGCCGCTCTTCGGGACACTCACTCGCCAGCGCTACCGCTGCCTCTACGGCTCCACTCACGTCTCCGGCCTCTGCGTTCTGCCCGTCCCGGGGCGCCTCTCCGGGGAATAGGCGGCGGGGCGGAGCGGGGAGTGGGGCGGCGCCTGTCCGCGCTCCCTCCCCTGCGGACGGGGCAGCGCGGGGAGCCCGGGCCGGGGGTGAGCCGGGGTTGCTGGCCAGAGCCGCCGGCCGGAGCCGGCCCCGGCTGCCAGAGGCAGGGATCGTGCTTGGCGGGAGCGCGGCCAGGGCGGCCAGGCGGGCTCGGGGCCGCGAGAGCCGGACACCCCGCGGCCGCTGCCAAAGCGGGAGGAGCGCCCGGCGCTCCGGGAAGGGCCGCTCCCGAGGCCGGGGCTTCGCCTGCTGGAGGCCGTAATAAACATGCGTGAAGCAGTGCAACGTTTGGCAGCCAAACTGGCCTTTGCAGAACCTTTAAAACCCCCCCCTTTTTTATAAACGTTGTTGACTACTCTGTAGAAAGGGATTTTGGCTGCAGGCACAGATTGGTCTTGAGCCTGCTGAGGCAGGAGTTTTAAACTTTGAGGCTGCTAAGTGCTTTTCTGCTGACTGCTTTTGTAGCAGCTTCTAGTTCCCAGCCAGATTCCCTTAAGCTGGCTCGGTAGGGATCAGTTTGCTCTCTAGCAAAGCATGTGTAAGTTCCACACAGTAAATCACTTTAAAGTAAATGCGTTGATAGGAGGAATAAGTGAGATACCCTTTCTACTGGTGCTGTAGAAGGGGCCCTGAGTGTCCTGGTTGACGGGAAGTTGAATGTGAGTCAGCAGTGCCCTGGCAGCCAGGAGGGCCAAACGTGTCCTGGGGGACACCAGGCACAGCAGCACCAGTGGGATTGTCCTGCTCTGCTCTGCTCTGCACTGGGGTGGTCTCAACTTGAATATTCTGTGCAATTTTGGGTGCCACAAGATAAGGAAGATACTTAATTATTGGAGTGTCCAAAGGAAGATTTCAAACATGGTGAGCAGTCTAGAGGAGAAGCCATATGAGAAGTCTGTTCAGCCTGGAGGAGTCTGAGGGGAGACCTCATTGCAGTCTACAATTTCCTCATGAGAGGAAACAGAGGGGCAGACACTGATCTCTGGTGACCAGTGACAGAATTCAAGGGAATGGCCTGTTAAGTTGTGTCAGGGAAGGTTTAAATTGGGTATCAGAAAAAAGGTTTCTCCATCAATGGATGGTTGAGCCCTAGAACAGAGTTCCCAGAGAAGTGGTCACAGAGAAGTGTCAGGCATCAGCCTGACAAAGTTCAAGAGGCGTTTTGGACAACACTCCTGGGCACACAGTGTGACTCTTGCCTGCAGGGCCTGCGCATGCAGGGCCAGGAGTTGGGCTTGGATGATCCCTGTGGGTCCCTTCCAACACAGGATATTCTATGATTCTCTCTGGAGCATACAAGCACCATTCTGTAGCCTGGTTACTGGGACAGCAGGTGATATTTTGGTGTCAGTTCTTCCTCCCTGACCAGTTACTAAGTGGAAGCCAGGTTGTGTCTCTTATAACTATTCACTTTTTTACCCAATTACCAGTCAATAATTCTATTCCACCTATAACACTAGGTAGGATTGTTGCAAAACAACATATGTAAATATGTATGTGTAAATATATATAAACATTTTCTTAAGAAAGGATGTTCTTTGATGTTTGCTCTTTGTATGCCTTTAAGCCTAATCAACAAGCAGGGATATTCAATCTGTGAGCAAATAACAGCTAACAAGCAAGCTCTAGGTGATGTCCAGACGTTAGAAAAACAAATTAGTTGGTAGAATTGCCTTGTTAGGATTTAAGGCTTGAAATGCTTCAATGATCTCAGACCTAGGGGAAGGTTAATAAAGCTTGGGAAGAAGGATGTACCACTCATAGTGGACACAATGTGGAATTTACAGGCCACAAAGACATCTGGCAGAACTCCCAAGATAAAATAGGAACTAATAAACCCAACCCAGTGATTGTGCTGCAATCAGCTCTGACTGGGTAAATTATAATTCCATCAGGGGGAGATTGTGACCACCAGCTCACAGACCACAGACCCCAAAGAAGAGAAAGACTGACCATAGGACTAATTAGCATGAGAAGCAAGAGAATCATTAACCAATAAAAGAATACCAGTTAATAAGAAAACTATGTAACTTGTAGCCAACGAACACTAATTCTTTTGTTTGCTAAATTCTATAAATAGTAAAAAGTTCTGATAATTAGTGTGTGTAATTTGTGCAATACCACCAATTGTGCAACTCTGAAATAAATAATCAATGTCTCTCTTTAAGTGTGTCATTATTGGCTTGTTGCACACTGAGTAAAAAATCCGATTTTGGCAGAGAAGGTTGCTCAGCATTTGAGGCAGTAGCTCCAGCTTTCTATATATTATCATTTTACAGACTGAATTAATTAGTTAAGTATTCCATTGCTTTCTTCAGGTGCTGCTTTTTGTTTGTTTGTTTAGGCACACACATTCAACATCAATAGACTCGTGCTGAATCAAGATTTTGAACTGTTACTCTAAGAGGAAGGATGTCTTCCTGTATGTTCCAGTCCTAGTCTGCCAGGCCCATTAGATTCTCTTCCTAGCTTGTAGCAGAACCCTGAATCAAAAACTTACTACAAAAATAAACACCATTGTCACAATTAAAATCTATGCAAAAAAAAGATAGCAAAATGCAGATTTATTTCATGGCTTCATTACAAATGTATTTACTTCCTGCTCAGCTGAAAATAAATTGAAACATACCATTGGCAATCTAAAAGATTAATACTACATAAAAAAAGTTCATCTCAGAAATCACAAGCTACCAGTTCTAGTACCTGTAGGGATTTTTCCTAACAAAAATACTTATTTTAAAAAGCCCTGAACCACTTGACATGTATCATCACTGACACACTGAACACCCATGCCACAACACGGCAGTGCAACTTTCTAACACCAAGTAATCAGTCCTCCAATGCTCAGTATCCATGCAGCTGTGCACATCCTCTTCCTTGGAGAGATATATAGTCCTTTTCCTTTAAAGCACAGAGTTCAAGTTGCTGTGTTTATAACATTACACCTATGTACAACCACTTCACCTTATTGTGGAGCCCAGCACAGCCTGAAGTGCCCTTTACCTGTGGCACCTGCTGCTTATGGTGTTCCATGACACAAAATTTGGCTCCCTCAGCTTTTATGTCACAAAAATCCAGCCATGTGATTTTGCTGGGAGCCACTTTTGCTCCCAGCAAAATGTAGTCTTTTTGAGTGAAACGTGCCCTCATTAACACACATTTGGTAGAGACACCCCAAGAACTGTGGAAAGGGAGCACTATTCAGTGAAAGGGCCAAGTTGAGAAGCACATGGGAATCTACATGTAATGACAGGTATGTGAATGTACCAATACTCATGAGAAACATGGGACACAGGACAGGAACCAGCAAATAAATATCAAAAGATATCAAAACAAAAAACCTTACCATATTGAAACACACAATGCTATCACATTTAGCATTCTAATACCTACAGCTTGAAATAGCAACTGGAACTTAAGGGAAAAAATACAAATCTCACTGTTTCGAATTTAAGGAAAAAAATATAAATCTCACTGTTGCAAATGTACAGTTGCTTTAGAATGCTTTTTAAAATAGGAGTGAAGGACACCCAAATTCAATTAAATAAGAAGCTGTTACTGTTCATTACAGAAACATAAACAAGCTAGCAATGAATCAAACTTAACATGAATGTTCTGTTTTCATACACAGGGATTTGTTGTTCAATGCTTTATCAGTCATTTATTTTAAATTCATCCAAGTTAATTTGTTTTCTCCCATTCCCTCATCCAGCTACCCTCTCAAGGCAAGTACCTGCCAGTTTGCTTCAATGCCAGTCTTTTAACATTCTTGGCCTCAATAATGTATAAGAATGCTAGAGGGACCAGATTACTTCATGTGTGGCACCAGATTACTTCAACTGAAAGCAGCAGTGAGATTTTTCTTCAGGTATATGAGCTGATCACCTTAGTTACCCTTTGAAGTTAGTGAAGACGGATATCTCCTTCAAGTATGACTTCTCCCATCCTAAAGATGTTTTTTTTTTCCCCAGTGACTAAACAGAGAAACTAGATTGAATAGCTCAGATACAGGTATCTGAAATATGAAGGAAAAGGTTCCCAGTGAATAGGCCAAATATTTTTAACAAACCTTTCAAAAGTATTATAGATGTTTATTTCTTAGTGCCCATAAACACACACACAACCCACATCTTTAAAGTTTAAATACTATGAAATTAAATAACAGGAAACTTCATGTACATGTCATTGGTCTAGACACAACAGAGACATACAATTAGGGAACTTCACTGGAAGTTTTTGGTGAAAATAGACTAACATCCATAGCAGTCATTGTGATTATTTTCCTGACTCCAGTCTGTGCATTAAATCATTCTGTTTCTCTTCGCAGAACTGTATTTGAACAAGTAATCATTCTCAAAAAAAAAAAAAAAAAAGAAGAAGAAAAAAGGCTTTGTAATTTCCCTAGAGAATCAAACAGGCCAACTGATAAGGAAACTTTAATCTTCTGGAATTAGCAATGGGAAAAAAAATCCAGCACTCTAGAAAGATAGGCAATATGTGTAACTACAGTTATGTACAAGCCGACTTTTTCTTCACCTTTTCTCTTTGAAGTTTAGTGTTCTTTAGTGTTCTGCACTGTTCCAGGAGTCAGTTATGAGGTATGAAAAACCAATAAAAAGATTAACATTATAACCATTTTAATAAAAACCACTGCACTGTTTGCCCTTTCAAAATATTTCTGAAAATAAAGTAAAAAAATATTTAGTATTCTTAAAAGTCTTAAGGAAGATTTCATTACAAAAGCAGTCATTTTTGTGGCTTCTTTTCAACACAATTCTGCCTCAACATTAAACTCAGACATATGGGTATGCTTCATTATACCATCATACAAGTAATCACATTGAATTTCTATAGCAGTATATATTATATAAAACAAAAAAACATATATACAGGTAGCCAGAAAGCTAATCAAGAAAAAATGATGTTGTCTGTACTGAAAAGTAAAGACCATTTTCAAATACTAACAAAAAAATCCAATTTGTTTGTTGGTCTTTTCTGTCTTAAGACTTTGTATAGAAGGACTTCCACAGAGGAATTTCTACAACTTTGGTTTATAATGACCTAGAAAAAATTCATCCCTAATACATAATATTGATCTAGTGGATGTCTTTAAAGCTGATATGGAAAGCAACAGGGAAAACTACACATATGGATTTTATGATGAGAATAATAATTTAAACTCAGGATGCCATATTCCAAATATACAGAAAAGACTTGGTTATAGTAAACATATTTATCTTCTGCTATAAATTAGCTCATCCAGCCAGATCCCTACTCTTTAATTCCTCATGACTGAAGAAGCTATGTGTTCTCTCTATCTGATGAATAGTAGGCTATATATGGAAAGCCTTAAGAACATGCTGCTTGTACTGAAGGGTGTATCTATTTCAGCACCTTTCAGATACAAAAGTTGGTACTAAGCTAGGCTGGTCATTAGCCATACCAGTGCAGTGTTCTGCTTGCCAGATACTTATCAAAGAGCATGCTTGGATCATATTCGGAAACAAATTTCTGAAAACTTTGTCCAGAAACCAGAAGAAATGGAAATAATTGCAATGGCTTTGTACCCTATGTTACCCACTGAGAAACAGGTTATACTTGCAGGAGAGGACCACACATGCATGCCTGTGGCACCACAACTAAAACAAACCAGTATGTAGCCGTGTTCATTCGTTCCAAGCCAAACTGGTGGACAGCACCACACTGCCACAGCCTTGCTGGCTAGATCTACAGTTAGTGTGGCAAAAATAGTACACTAAAGTACCTGCATGACTTGTAGTACCTGAGCTAGCTTTGATCATACTGTGCTGATCAATTTCTCCCAGGGGACATAGATGGCAAGAATAAAGGAATATGGAGAGACAGGTAAGGTTCCCCAGCTTTCATATCCAATAGCAAACTTTCAATCTTAAACAAACAAACAAAACTAAACATCTCAAAAAACCCCAAAGAAACTGGAAAAACCAACCACCAGCAAATAAACAGACTTGCTACTACTTCCTGAAGCAGGAATGTAAATATATAATACATGACAAACAACTCTGGACAGTCAGAGTTCAAATGTGTATTAAAGCATAGCCCCTTTTGAGAGGTAACATGGTATCAACATAAACCACCTCTGAATCATCCCACATTGATGTGCTCAGTTTATGCATTAACAGCTATGCTTATTTATCTGTCCCTTCAGCAAACACACGAGCTATGGGATACAAAGCTGAAGCCAGGTTCTTTCAGGTAACAGATCAACAGCCAAGGTCAGGTCTTCTGCACAGTTACTGCTCCACAGAAATTCTCTCTTTATTCCCCAGCAATATAGGAGCTGAAAGGTATAATGTCCTTAACCAGAAAGCACTGAATTGCCTGAGAACACAGCAATTAGGTCCTACAGACACTATACTGTATTTAAACCACTGACCTGCCACAGGAGCTAAAGTGATTCTGACTTGTTGTCCGTGTTGTCTGTAGTAGATGAGGCTGCCTGCGAGAACACAAACCCTACCTGACTCCTCTGTTGCCTCACCTTCTTTTCATTAGCTGCTTGTTATAATCTCCATCTTCATCTAACAGTATTTTCTACACTCAGGCATACTTGAGCAGTACACTGGCTGACAGACATTTATGGTCAAATCCTTGCCCTTATTTACTCCTGTACAAATCTGACACTTCACAGGCTGGAGAGAGAAATGAGCATAAGGGCTTAACTCAAATTATATGAGTAGACTGATGTGCTGGAGAGAATTCATTCTTCCACTGTCTCTGCAGGACTGGCACTGGAAGGCAGTAATAAAACTGAAGTGGACAGATATTTTTCATACTTGAAAAGATCAGGATCCAAACAGGAAATTGCACTTTTAAGTATCACTTTCAGAAATAAAACTGCCTCCTGCTATTCATCCTGCTACTAAAAAGTCAGATGAAGATATCAAATTACACGTGTATGCTGTGAAATTCCATCTGCATTGCTTTCATATACCTATAAAAATGTTCTAATGGACTTTAAAAGCAGTTCAAGTAAAAATAAAATGATCCCTCAAGCTGAAATGTTAGGATCTGTAGGAGGGCAAAACTGGACATTCAAGTGTGCGGTGCTGGTGGTGTTGTTTTTGAGAAATGATGACTGAAGCCTGTACATGGTCAGAAGTACCCATGTAACAGCAGTTGTAAACAGCATGCATGGGCAACCTGAAAAGGAGCATCAGGCACCGCCTTTCTTTTGCAACTGCTCCAGTTTTCTCCTTAGGAGGCTGTAGTTTTCCTTGGTTCCTGGCGCCATGGGATCAAGCTTCAGAGAGACTTCATAGTGCTTCTTGGCCAAGTCAAGGTTTCCCCAGCGATGATAAAGCACAGCTGGAACATCAATTGGGAATTTCATTAGCAATATTGAATATATAAATATTGTTGAATAATGTACAATCTTGCCAATCACTTGGAGAACAACATTGAGGTATTTGTTTCCAGTGAGGGTCTGTCACTGGCTGGTGGCAGGCACAGTAGCTGCTTGTTCTGTTGCCAAATGCAGGAGCAAAGCCTGGGAGCAGAACTGGCATGGGAATGATGAAGGAATGAATTACAATGGAGCCATAAATGGCAGCTCTTATCTGGTGAGCTCATTGTGGGTTACAAGCATAGCATAAATGAATCAATTTGCAGACACTGAAGTGCAGCTACCTCTGGGCTGGATTTTGCAGCCCTCTTGATCTGTCATATCATGTGACAGCTTTTCTGGCTTTAGTGCCCTGTTCTTCTGGCTGGCAGTTTTTTCTAGAAAGTAAAATAGAAATCTGCCCACCAGGAAGAAGGCGCAAAAGATTACTTTTTCTTTTTAAACACAATGAATATGAAGCAAATAAACAATACAGCTGATAAGATTTAGAAAGGCTCTTACCCAAATTACCATGATAACTGGCAGCATTTGGATTGGCTTTAATTGCCTTGAGGAACAAAGCTTCAGATTCCTGAATAATTTAAAATAACACGTCATCAGGAAAGTCCATTCTCATATATATAAAACAATGCCAAATTTACCCACCACTGTAATTACAAACCCTCCAAAACTATGTCCTATCTATATGATACCACCATGTAAATATCCTGAGCCTGCCTTATCCTGTAGCTCAGGTGGTTACAGCCCTCTGAAACCAGTTATAATGCTGCAAATAAGTGTCATGTTTTCACAGGCTGCTGTTAATTTAGCAGAAATTTATTAAGCACTTGTGAACTTTGCTTTTTACTTAAAGTACCTTTTAAAAAATAGTTATAGTATTTTCAAACATTACCTGCTGAAGTTTTCCCTACTTATGCAATCAAATTAAGGAAATGTAATTTGGTATCTAAACAAACTGCTTATAGACACTTTTCCTTTTACAATAGTTTTAGCATTAAAAAAAGGAGTATTCCAGTAAATCCCTTTCAAACAGATGTGTGGTTCCCCATGAAGAGTAGCTGAATACCTTTTACTTAAAAGAGAAAAAAAATGCCAAATCATATCATGCCATGAAATATCCTTCACATTTTCCTCACCAGTTATCTTCTCTGTATTACTGCTTGCAATGTGTGCTCTTAAGACTCTTGATATGTGAGTACCTCTTAGAAAACCTCAGGTCCCTCACCTATTCAGAAAATAATTTACCGCTAAATTTATTCTCTAATTAAAACAATTCTATTTTTCCAAACTAGCAGCTAATATTGCTACTTTTTTCCCCAGAGCATATTTCCTGCAGAACTTTAAAAACTCACATCCCCTCCCCAATCCAAATGGAGCATATTTACTCACTAACATGCAAGTTTAGATACTTGAGAGCAAATTTTACATAGATTTCTATGCTGTGCTGTGCTCTAGGGAAAGTTGCTCATTCAGTTTCAATGCAAATGACCTGAAGATAAAATTACCTCAATGTGGTAGGCTTCCATCTGAATGCACATACTTGCTGTCTGAGGTATGTGAGAACAGTAACATGGTAGAAAAGTCCTTTCCTTTGTGCTAAGCTTTCACTGCTTAAAATAAATCACAGGCTTTACTGAAAAAGAAAGCCTGTCAGCCAGATTTTGGTTCTACCATCTTCCCATGTCAAGCATGAAATAACTCTCTGTAAGGGTCCCTTCAGGGGAAAAGAAATCTCTGATGTCAAGATTGAGTCACTCAGCTCTGAGTGACTTAAGAGCCTCCCCATATGTCCAAATTCAAACCCAAACTAAAAGCATTGCTGAGCACAGCTGAAGCTGCCATTCTCAAGCCAGGAGAGACTCATGCGGAAAGTGCCTTCATCTCCACAGGTCAAGGAAACTACAAACCCCAGGTTCTCTGAGCTAGTCCAGTGGAGGGCTATGAAGATGATGAGGGGACTGGAACATCTTTTATGAGGAAAAGCAGAAGAAGCTGGGCCTGCTCAGGCTCAAGAAGAGATGATTGAGAGGGGACCTCATCAATGTCTAAGTATCTGAAGGGAGGGTGCCATAAGGATGGATCCAGGCTCTTCTCATTCATGCCATGAAACAGCACAAGAGGCAATGAGCAGCAATGATGCACAGGAAGTTCCATCTGAACGTAAGGAAGAACTTCTTTACTGTTCACGTGACAGACCACTGGAGCAGACTGACCAGAAGTTGTGCAGTGTTCTTCCCTGGAGATATTCAGAACTTGCTTGGATGCAATTCTGCGCAGCCTGCTCTAGGTGAACCTGCTCTAGCAGGGGGTTGGATGAGACAACCTCCAGACATCCCTTCCAACCCCAACTATTCTGTGATTCTGATTTTGTTTCAGGACAAGGAATATTTGGAGAGGAGTTAACAAGGGGAACCAGATGTCTGCAAATTTACCTCCATAGTGCAAGTTTTAGCATTGCTTTCCTATGGCATGAGCAGTTGCTCCAGCATTCTCATATCCAGACTATTTTGAAACCCGTATTGTTTAGTGATTTCATTCATATTTTGGTGGGACTGAATGCAGTTTCAAAACTTTACAGATAGCACCTAAGAGGAGGGAATAAGAAATACAGTGGAAGGGAGAACAGCTATTTTGAGGGACCTGGGCAGGGCAGAGAAACAGACTAGCAGGAATCACAGAATGGTTGAGGCTGGAATGGACCTCTGGTGGCCATGTGACTTTGGTAAGTATTGTATTTGCGGGGCACCCAGACAAAGGAGGGAATGATGAATCTGACTCCACGTTCTTAGAAGGCTAATGTGTTATTTTATGATGCTATATTATATTAAAGAATGCTATACTTAATTATACTAAAGAATACAGAAAGGATACTTACAGAAGGCTAAAAAGATCATAATGAAGCTCATGACTCTCTCTCCAGAGTCTGACACAGCTTGACCCCGATTGGCCAATAAGTCAAAACAATTTCCATGAAACCAATGGAACAACCACCTGTTGGTAAACAATCTTCAAACCCATTCCACATGTGAGCACAACACAGGAGAAGCAAATGAGATAAGAATTTGTTTTCCTTTTTCTCTGAGGCTTCTCAGCTTCCCAGGAGAAAATCCTGGGTGAAGGGATTTTTCAGAAAATATGAATGCTACAGATAAGCACTTCTGAGACCACACCTGGAGTATGTGTTCAGGCTGGGGGTCTCCATTACAAGAAAGACGCAGACATACTTCAGTGAGTCTTGCAGAAAGCCACCAAAATAGTACAGAGCTGGAGCACAAGATGTGCAAAGACCAACTGAGAGAACTGGATCTTTTCAGCCTTCGGGAGAGAAGACAAAGGTGCTGCCTACAAGTACCTGATGAGATAATACAGAGAGGATGGAAACAGACTCTTCTCACATGTCTGTGAGATGGGGTGAGATATAATGGATGTAAACTGGCTTACAAGAAATTCCAATTAAAGGAAACATCAATTTTTTTTTTATTATAAAGTTGGTCAAGCATTGAAATATGTTGTCCAGAGAGGTTATAGAATCTCTATTGACAGAGATATTCAGTATTCAACTGGAACTGGCACTGGTTTGGATTAGGAGTTGGACTAGATGACCTTTAGATGTCATTTCTAGGCAAAATTATTCCATGATTTCCATGTTTCTCAGTCACCTGAGAAACATACTGAGACTCAAAAATTTGGCAAGTGGTGCAAGATAACCTCCTCTTTTCAAACAACTCTCAAATCCTAAAAATCAACAGTGGATTGGCACTTGAAAGCATGCAGTAATTTCAAGTCTCATAAAGTTGTGCTTTTTCCCACTCCAAATTTTGTGGTCTAGTAAATCTCCCTTTTCCTCATTGGGCAGGTTAACAACAATTAATGAAAGATACACTGAACACTTAAATCAGCCTTACGCCTAAAAGTTGCCACTTGCACAGAGGAGGAGCACCTGATGTACAGACTTGCATCTGTTCACTGCTGAAGGACAGTGGGACAGCACGTGCAATGTGCTTCCAGATAATTTAATGAGATAGATATTCAAGAGCTGGCTGCCATTACCATACATCTTCAGCTCCATGCTGAGAATATTTTTATCACCACTACTTCGCTCAGCAGCTTGTAGAAGCATAGTGGTTGTTTAAAGGCTATTTAAGGTGCATCATATTCATATTACTGTGGATATATGGAGTAAATGTACATTCCAGCACATCAGTGGTATTTCAAATTGCTGCATTTTGCCAAATCTTCAAGTGTTGCCAAGAAACTTGCAGCTTGCATATAGCAAAGGCATGGGGTAAGCACACCGCATTCCATCTGCTGCCAAGGCCACAAAAATGTACTCTGGCTTTATTTCAAATACAAAAAATGCTGAATGGTTTCAATTTATTGCACTTTTTACAGAAAAAGCATAGATGTATATGTAACAAAAATACAGCACACATCTTTTTCAAAGAACTAAAGATAGCTTGGTTCTTCATCAATTGAGATAAGAACAAGCATTCAAAGGAGAATCAAACTTGATATAGCAGATGTTAATTAAAAAACCCAAACAAAACCACAGAAACAGCTCATCCTTTATGTGCTTTTCTCTCTGGAACAATAAATCATTCATCATTACATACAGACACAAAATAAAGGGCTATTTTTTTATTTTTTGTGACATAGGAAACCTATCTTCTGCTGAAAATCAAAGTATATTTGAAACTGAAGGAGAACGTTGTGTGCTTATTGGAAGGAAATCTCACAACATAATAAAAACTTTTTGACACAATGTCTTTTAAAATAAGAGATAACAAAAAACCCCAGAACAAATCTTCCTGTGCGACAACAGAGCCAACATAGTAGCAACTTTTACACAGACACATAATGAGTAACCTAATAAATTAAATGCCTGAGGTCATACAACATATCAGACACAGCCAGGCAGCACTCTGAAAATTACCTCCATCACCATGACAGTCTTCATCCCCTGTTCCTTCCCTCCAATTCTACTCAATAAAAATCCTTGAAGAGCCATCCACTTCTCTCTTTTTACATGGTGAGGGGGTGGACAAGAAATCTGAATTTTTCATGCTTTTTTTTGCTCAGTAAGCATTCTCCCATTACAAACAAATCTTTATCTCTTCTTTCTAGGCAATGCCAAATACAGCTGCTAAGATCATAACCTTTGTGAGTCCTCTTTCCAATTCCCTTAATTTGTTCTCCCTGTTATAACCCATCAGTTTTTAGTGACTAGTTAAGCTCTGCACAAAACTACTACTCCATATTGAAGTATTAAAACACTCACTGGTGCCCTGCTTTTTTTTCTGGGCTCCGCTATTCCTTTTGCTTTTTTCAGAATGTGGACTTAAAAGCTGCACTTTCCCCTACTCTTACTTCTACATTGTCTCCAACAAGTTCTCCTGCAGCATAATAACCTTTCAAGGCTGGCAATCAAAACCACTATCTTCTTTTCTATTTTTTAGATCCACTAAGACAGTGTTGTCTCTCCTACACCTGGAAAAAAATTTTTAGCTTGTTTTCAACTTATTTTTTCAACTTTATTTCATTATAAATGCTCTGTATTCTGCCATGCTACATATTCTCCCTGATGAATGACTGTAAAATCCTCTATTCTTCCACAGGCCTGACTCACCAAAATAATTCTAGCAATTACCTCCTCCATAATCTCATACCTTATGTGTTCTGGATGTTAATTTGTATCCTTCTGGAACTTTGTTAAACCAACCTAAAATATGTATTTTATAACAGTCTCAGGTGGAGAGAGGAAAGATTTAGAGTGTCCAGGAAAATAACCTAGCCAGTCTAGAAGAACAGTAACTGGGTGTTTAACAGCGTCACTAACACAAACAAAAGCCAGTGCTGGTTGTCACAGGCCCTGGCCTCACACGTGAACAGGTCAGGACTCCACAGCTGATCAATACTGTAGAAATATAAGTGGTCACAGTAACTACTGGACAGATGTATCTATTTTGAGACTCATGGACTTATTAAAGTTGGAAAAGACCGTTAAGATCATGAGGTCTAACCGTAAACCCCACACTACCAGCATGTTCACCATTAAACTATGTCTTCAAGTGCCATATCCATACATTTTTTGAACACTTCCAGGGATGGTGACTCCACCACTTCCCTGGGCAATCTGGCCCAATGTTTTACAATTCCTTTTGTGAAAAAAATTAACTAATATCTAATCTAAACCTTTCCTGGTGCAACTCAGGCCATTTTCTCCTGATAAGTTTCATATTATAGAATCTTCTTACTTTGTATATACGTGAGGGTGTTCCTGCAGTGCTGTTAACATTATCACTATCAAAAAGACAGCAAACCCCTTAAAAGCCTAAAAAAACCTTAAAAAGGTTCAGTAAATGATGTTTTTCAAAGGTACAACAAGGACTTGATTATTAATTTTTCCCTATCACATACATAAATCACTGATTATAGAGTCAGTTTAAACAACTAACTATATTAAATGTGTGTGATTTATTCTCTGTCATATAAGCTTATCATCTGATACAATTCCCTTTGGGAAACAAGTCATCCTCATCAGTTTCATTACATTTACTACTTGCAAATAAAGGTAGCTCATGCTGAGGTACCACTCCCAGGCTGGTCCAGTGCATCCAAGAGCAAGTTCAATACATTGAGCAATGCATGTACTTTCTCTCATAGCATTCTGAGATCACCCAGGTATCCCATCCTCAGGCTGGGATTAACAAACTCATATTACTATATTTTAGATCGTGTCTGAGGCAAAAAGGCCAGAATTCTTATCTCTCTCTCTATATATATATATGTATTCACAGAATATATACCAAAAGCAGAAGAACTAGCTTGTCCCATCTAATTTGAGCTCCTGAAATGAGGTCTCTAATTCAATGCAGGCTCTCTCCCTCTGCAGTGAAGCAACACAAGACCCTAACTGCCCTCTAGTGTGCTGAAGAGCCTATTTCTCTCCACTGACCACTGACATAGTGTAGGGCAGCAACACTTGTAACCTAGGCATCCAAAATAAGGAGGGATAAGCTCAAGACAGAATCACACACCAATACTGTGGTAGAGAAGGGCACTGAAACGTTTTAAACAGATTCTCTAGTCATAGTCCACAATGATCTCCTCAAAAAAAATGTAGGTGGAGTTTAATTAAGGAAAAAATCCCAGTGAATCCAACCCAAAGCCTTAGAGTCAAAAAGCTCTAGTTACCTACCTTATATTTTTGTGATTTCCCCAGTACATTGGCCAAGGAAAACATAAGGGAATGATCATTAGGTATTAATTCCAGGGCTTCTCTTCCAACTGCTTCTGCTTGAGCTAGATTGCCTGGGAGCCCAGGTAGCAGAAAAAGAGAAAGCATGTTTTAACACAGCCTTATTAGTTCATGCTGCAAGCACACATCTTTTACAAATAGCTGACTGCATAATTTTTTAGAGAAAACCAGGTATCACACACACGCACAAATGTAAAATCCTGTAGACTAAGGCAAAAGAGTATCTTCATTTTGTTTTCAATAGATAACACCTTCAGAAGAACAAGAAAGCAGAGATTAAAAAGTTCTGGAATTTAATCTACAATACAAACATGCTTGCACAACGATGGCATTTTAAGTAAGTATCAGAAATTCAATTTATGGGCTGGATTTCAAGTGATGCTTTAAAATCACTGAGTCAGAAGGCATTCTTATATTATTAGAAGGGGTCTGGGTAGCCAAAGAAGAGGTAGAGATCCTTTTAGATAAAAACAGATAAAGGTTTCAGTTTTTCTAGACACTGAATTATTCATTAAAACATTCAAAAAGACCTTTACCTGTGTTATCAAGCAATATTATCATATTGTTCCAGGCCAAACTGTGCTCTGGTTTCAGGACTGTAGCATTCCTCCATGCATTCAATGCATCTATATGGCGATTCAAATCTGCATACTAAAACAAAAGAAAAATCCAGTGATTTTGCTACTACTTGCTCTACTTTCCTATCATCCACTAAAGACACTAAAAAGTTGTTAATGTCTTGTCCTTTCTAGTAGGATTTCTTTTTATAGACAAAAATAAACATGAAAGGAATAATCTTGTAGTATGGAAGATAAGAATGCTATATACTAATTTTCCTTTTCTTGCCTCTGCAAGTGAGGCTTGTCTTCAAATATGCATGTACCAATAGAATAAGGAGAAGAAACAGCATATAATTTAGAAGTCTACACAAGAGATTTAGTAAATATTTAATGTACATATTTTCAAACATCTAATCTGAATTTTTCAGCACAGTTCTACTAGCTAACAATATACTAAGGAATGCAAAACATTGGGAAATTATTAATAATACCTTTTGGAAAAAAAAAAAATTAAATCTGTATTTTTGTTGGTACTTCTTTGTATGATAAAGTAGGATTACCAAAGGTTGTATGGAAGGAAGTATTTTAGGAAAGCAATAGGAAAAGCTACTAAAAGTATGAAATCACCCTAAAATGCAACATAAGCAAACTGGGATAACTATCAGCTTTTAACAGTACAGCAGAATTAGATAAATCTTTCTAAATATACACATACAGAAAGACACACACAGATTCCAGTCATAGCTATCATTTATTCAAAAGCACTTACCAACCGCCCTAGATTGTAGTAACAATCTGGATATTTTTTTCTGTGTTTAATTGCTGTCCAGTAGCTTTGCTCTGCCTCTTCAAACCTCCTTAAACTGTTCTGCACTATTCCTAGATTCATCCATGCAGCAGCAAAATCAGGTCTGGGCAAATTGGGAAAAAACCACCGAGAGAGAGGACAATTAAGCATCTGAAACACAAGATCCTATTGTATCATTTTGGCTCAGTTGGTGCAAAACACTGCTTAGCATTGGTCTAAACATACTGTATTTGTACAGCTAAGGACAGCAACTCCTCTGCTTCATGGAGCTCATTTCTTTCTTTCAGAATATTTCCAAGGTTGTTCATGGCATGCACATATTTTGGATTCAACCTAAAATGTAAAATTTAAGAGATTATTATTATGTATGGACATGTATTAATATATGCAAATTGCTAGCTCTGCAACGCTGCAGAACATGAAAATGAATACCTAAGCATTTTCTTCATGTTAAACATGAAAGCAATTTTAGGAAATATCATTAAAGCAGTAAAATTTTTAATACCTTACAGCTTCTCTGTAGTATTTGATTGCAGCACTTTGATTTCCTTTGTCAGCCAGGTTTTTGCCAACATTGTAGTGCACCTGAAAACACAGGTGGATATTCCACCAGATGCCACACAGTCAGATATTTTGTGGAATCAAGTAGGTAAAAATTCTTTCTCTAAAAAGAAACAGTCAGCAGTTGTGTCATTCACTGCTGGCTTTTAGTGTAGATTGATTCTTAGGATTGGATAATTCATACAATGAAGATGGTAAGACAAAATCTGAGGTACAGATCAGCTTACCTACTCCAGGTATTTAAGAAAAATTATTAATTTCCTAGTTTTATAAGTGAGGTCACCACACCTTTCACAAGGCACTTGGTATGGAGACCTCCTGCTCCTAATTTAATTTGTTTGCCAGGTAAGAGAACGTTTGACTCAAAGCAAATCTATCATAGCAGAAGCAATGTGTCAACCTTTATTTTCATTATAGCATAAACTAGAAGAAACTCAACATTCACAGAAAACCCAAACAAAAGGTAAAAGACAGGCAAAATTATTGTCTAAAGATAAAAATGTATCAAAGAGCATTTCTGAAATAATACATATAGCAACATGTTGAAGACTTTGCCTGTTAAAAACTGAACTATGAAGGAAGGATCTAGAGCTTTCAGACTACAGGGAGAAGATGCATCATCCTAATTTATGGCAAGAGTAAATAGGAATAAATATATTTCAGAACAAATCTGAGTTAGAAGACATCTCAAATCCCACTTTAAGAGAAATCTCAGAAGATTATGTTACCTGGTTGAAAAGTACTGTGAGTGTTGACTCTTGAAAAGAGATTTCTCAGCACCCAGACCAGGACTTATTATTTAGATTACTATTTGAAATTGAATTTATATATTTCATCTAAAACAAACACATATGCAAATTTTTTTCAAACTTTGAAAATCAAATTTCAAAACAGTATACAGGAATAACTTCAGATTGAAGTCCAAAATGATAGGTTCATAATGCACTTGTATAAGTCTAATTCACCTTCTACATTCAAAAAAGGATTTTATCTGACATGTCCATTAACTGAAAACCCCTAATTACAGTTGACATAGTATCTGGGACCTATTGATCCAGCACACATGAGTGTTGGAGCCTAGTTGTTATGGCATTTAATTGTTGAATTTCATCTCTATGTAACTATTGTAACATGCAGCAGCATACCACCAAGAAATAAAGTTAAGGACATTTCCCATGCTGTCTCAAATGGGAGAAAAAGTATTTTCAGTGGTTTTACAGACAGCAGAGATGCTCTAAAGCTTACTAAGCACACACAGAGGCAGCTCCTCACATTGCAAGATATAAAATAGCACACAAATTCAGTACCCCATAAAAGCAGTTCTAGCACAGCTTCCACGAAGAAAAAAATCCTGGCACTGTACTGTACATTCATAAAAGTATGACAAGGTCCATGGCAAAGAAGCAAGAGAATGGTGCATTTACATCAAGAAATAATCAAAGATCCATTGACAGTGTCAAAAAATAGAAGATAGAGCAACATTTTCCCAGGAGTCATTTAAGTAAAATGAAATACCCTGAAAGATGTTTCTCAGGACTGAATTCTATTTATATATCTCTTCCAGAAATTATTCAGAACACTAAGATTCTTACCAAATTGGATTGCTCTGATTATATATTGAAGTTCACATATTAAAATTTTACCCAGATAAAAGATAAATTGTGGCAACACAAAAGAAATACTTAAAGATTTCACTGAATACTGGATGTTAGCCCTTGAAGTAGATAACTTTACACTTCAGTATCAGCAAACAAAATTATATTTAACTTTACTGAATTTCATTTTTTAAGATGCTTTACAAAATGAAATTTTACTAAAGACCAGGACAGAGCAGATGAGAAAAATGTTGGTGTACACCAACCACTCAGTCTTTCACATGTCAGCTGTCTTGTGTTATGAAACAGCACTTCACTTTCTATTTTTCACAGTTTTTTTTTAAAAAACATGTAGTATCTTCACATCCATTTTTTTCCCAAAAGTACCAGCAGCAAGAATATTTTTCTCATGTAAACAGAACTGTGCAGTCTGAAGAAAACTGAGATATCAATTCTCTCAAGTCAAAACATCAAATGAAGTATTAAGTGCCCAGGTACATTTTGTGAGCTGAACTAAAAAGATGTACTATAGTCTATTACAACTGATTGCACAACTATTTAAATAAACTATTAACATTTTCAATGGTGTATTTCTTTTGCCCTCAGCTATAGCTCCTGTGTGAAAGGAAATGATATTTCTATACAACACTCCCAAAAATGAAGGGCTCCTTGCTGTATGTAAGTTTTCTAATTTCCCTTCAAGTGAAATTGTAGCTTTAGTTCCTCTTAATATGGTGGTGACAAAGAAAGGAAGAGGAAAGAAGCCCAAAACCAAAGACATCAAAAGAAGTGCCCAGCCTACCAGAGACATCCAACGACAAAACCAGCTCTGCAATGGGCTATAGGATGCAGTGACATCCTGCTCTTAAGAGCAGAAGCAGCAGAGGGTTTCCAGGCACATCCAGACATCTGAGAGGTACTTCTGCCATCCAGCTCTGTCTCTTGCTTCTGTGGCCACGGCAGAGAGAAGCCAAGGTCAGCCTTTAGCTGTCTGCTGAGCACAGGGCTGTGCCTCTCCTGCACAACACAGGTGCTTGCTATGGACCAGTGGGTGGGAAGAATCTGGTTTTAATAAGGGGCTGGTGAGTTATTTAAAATTTCATCTCCAGAGGTGTGGTTCTTCTGTTTCTGACAGATATTGTGCATGCCAGCCTGGGAGGGAAGATTTTCCTTTCCTGGTTAAACATTTAAGAGTCCTTCGTTATTACATGATTAAATATTAACTGGAAATGACGTATTACATTATACTCAGATGATCCTTTATCAATCTTAAACAGGCAATTACTTTACAGTAATAGCTCTAAAAGGAGCATTTCTCAGGGATGCATAACAACACAGTATTCTCAGAAATCTAAGAGATCAGGTAAAAATACCCGAGGGTAGAACCTAGTTTCAACAGGCATGTGTTGTTTAAGTTAACATAGCCTAGCCAAGGTATTTGTCTGTCCAATACCTCAATCAACCTAAGAAGCCAGTATAAAAAAGAAAAAGCACTGCATATTCTTCTGTGCCAGATATCCATAGTACTTGAACTCTTATTTAAGTGTTAAATTTAAACAAGCAGAGGAAAAAAAACATTTTCCTGTTCAAAAATGAAATTGTTGCCAGACTGACTTTTTGCTTTTGTTTTCCATCAAAGCAGAAGAGGAAGAAACTGAAATGTAATATCATCTTCGAGGGGGTACACCCCCCCATCAGCTGGAGCATTACTATTATCACCAATTTTACTCTCTCTTCTTAGCTGCTTAATCTCTTTTTCAGCAAATATGAACATTTACTGAAAAGGATGAAAGCAAAGCACAGATGTCAAAATTTCTTCAGGAACATGCAGATGCCTCTGTTCAATGCCAGCTTGTGTCATCAATCTTCTCTTTCTTCTACTACTAAACCTCTGTTTTCTAAATAATAATAAAACAAAGCTTTTGTGATATTCACATCTTGTTTGTGTATCTAATGTTGTCTAAAGATTCTTCTGCATGACCGTGCTTGTATACACAAAAATTGACATCTAAAATGGTGGCAGAACACTGCAAATAGCCCATATAAACACAGCCCACAGCACTTAAGGTAAATTCCTCAGAAGATAATCCCTTTTTAATATAGAGCATAAAGAAAAAAATCTCAATATCTAAAGGAAAGGCCCTCTAGATCAGCTTCCTTAAGGATCAAAGATCAGATCCTCAGGCAGCATTAAATCTTGTTCTGTAACAAAGAGGTTTTACAGGACTTTTTAAGAAAGTATAGAAACCAATCTCACTAACTTATTGTACCTTTTCAGTATTAGCATAGTTAATCTCTGGCAAACTTGCATCTATAATGATTGCAGTTTGCATAAAGCATAAATTTCAAAGTTACTTACTCAGTATGTCAAGGCAGATAGTTGTGTTGGGAGTATTTTAACTTCATTGCTTATTATTGCATAAAAATTGCTACTGTAATCGCTACTGCTTTTCAAAAATTGCTACTGAAATTGCTACCGCTTTTCAAAAATTATGTTTATTAATTTCTATCCTTTAAAGAAAAGCCAGCAGCAAGGAAAATGTAGAGATTATGTACAAAATCACAACAATTTACAGTCACTTAAATTCAGTTATTTCAAATCCAGGAAAAGAAAAATGCTGGCTAGTTCCCATGTGTGTAACAGTGTAACTGCAATTATTTATTTAGAGAATCAATGAGAGGAAGTCATCCAGGAATAAGGACCATCTCTGGATTCTTAAGCCAGAGAAAAGTCATTCTGCTATGGCTTTTCTAAAAGCTGACAAAAAATAACTCAGTTCTTCCAATAATGCAAACATTTCCAACAGCAAAAAAGAAAAGGCAGCAAGATGAGCATTTTTGGGAATAATCTTTAAAGTTGAAAGAAACAATGTGTAATGACTTCAGAAAGTGAGGAGCAATCCAGCAATGTCTATAAATAGTGAACAGCAGTAGGAGAGGGTCAAAATCTCACATAATCGTACATATCCACATCTGTTCTAGTTGTCAGGACTTCTTTTATCATCAGTGGAGAGAAAGACAAATCTAGGATACAGTCCTTCTGACTTAGGTCCCTCATTTAGTCCTAGGAGAGGAGCTAAATGCTAAAAGAAACAGCTTCTTCTCCCTCAGAGAAGAATCCAATCCATATAGTATAAAAAAAGGTGGTAGGGAAAACAGAATCAATGCAGAGGCACCTCCTGTTCAGCTAAGGAAAATACTGCCAAATGTATTAAAAATGTGTATTGTTTCAGTCTAATGACCTTTGAAACAACCTGAGTGCAGGGCCACACAAGTTCAAACATGTGACATGCTCCTGGACATGTTTAACCAAGATCTGTCACATACTTGTTTCTCTCTCTTAAAAAGCCCTACCTACCCACCCACCACATATTTTTTTAATATATATATATATAACACACATAAAACACACACACACACATATAACATATATATTTTAAAATATTGTAAATAAATAACTTTGGAATAAATTTAACAATATTTAAAACATTTAAAAATCTGTATTGGGAACATTTTTAGAGGTTAAAGTATTTTGTAGCTTCATTATGGTACCTGATTATTTCCAATATATTTTAAAGTCACTGGGCAATGTTTATTAAAGTTGATCTTAAATGTCATCCTCCTGAGTCAGATGTGTCAAGGCACCAGATTCACACAATCTCATTTAATGCAGTTTCCACATTTTTATCTAAAGGATATGTTTAAAGAAATGAGTCTTGAAATTAGACAAGGCAGTGCTGTTACAACTTGTTATTTAGAATTAGGGTAAGTTTACTCTACTTCCCACACAGACAATTTGGAATTGAAAAGAGCTGTACAACAAAACATGAACAGCTTTTTCTGCTACTGAGGATTTGAGATTTTGAGATCCTGATACATAATGGAAGCAAAGCATGACCACATTACACATATTTAATATGTTCCAGGAACAACAAGAAAAAGCTATTATCTGTGTGCCATTCTTTGGTCTGCAGCAGCCTCCCACTGAAATAAATGGGTCACTGGAAGAAAGTCCTGTGGAGTCATTTTTAAAGGAAGCCTGCAATTTCAAGACAACTGAAGATCAAAACAAAACCTGGTTCAAATTTTTACATTTACCTTTATCAAAATTAAATAACCACAGCTGAGTTCATAAAGAAAACAAGACAAAGGCCCTCATACACGGACTCTCTAATGTTCCTGCTTAGAAAAGTTCCCAACTATTGTGATTTCAAAGTTACATCCTTCAGCAAAACTGGAATGTGAGCCTACCATCCTTTCCCGCTTCACATCTCCATGCTTTCCCCTTGCACAAGCTGTCACCAGGAGAAATACAGCCCAGGCATGTCTGCAGTGCCCAGTGTTGACAAACACAAGCTCATTTTGCCTGTACATTCGCTGGCTTTACACCAGCTGCATTAGCTCAGTAGCTTGTGCACAGCTTATCGGCTCAAGCCCAGTGCTGTGGGAGCACAGCCACAGCTTCCAGCCAGGCATGGCTGCAGGCCAAGGAGCCTGGAGCACAGGCAGAGACTGGGATCTGTCTAAAGTACTCTCACCATGGCAGATGGATGGAGCTCCTCACAAAGAAAACAGATTGCATTTGCTCCATTTATAGCATGCGCTTGTCATCCAGAAGACAAGATATACTGAGGTCATCATTAAAAAGAAGATGGTTGCCTACCACTGCCACACAATAAAATACAACAGCTCTTTCCTATGTATTAAAATCTCAGACTATTGAAAGATGCCACCATGTTGTAAATATTGGCCATAAATGTTTTTTACAGCTCACTGTTGCGTATTTGTATTCCAGTAAATGCTAAGTTTATCATTCTCTTTGTGAAGTTGAGCCTTCACAGGTTCCTTTTTAAACCCTGTGTCTTGATTGGCATTTTCTAGATACCATTCTAGATTACAGGAATCTAATCTTTTAAAGCATCAATATATTTTTATTGACAACCTGCACATTCCCACTCCCAGGCTCTTCAGAGAGTCTCTTTACTAAAATTCAGACAACATCAGGGCTCAGTGGTGTGCTCCAACAGATCACACTCTTGGCTGTCAAAGGACTGCTGTGGAGGTCACCTCTGTTGGAGGCTGGAGTCAGTCTGTGATGCTGAACACTGCTGCTCAGCTCAGTGAAACATCCTATCCAGCCCCACCATCTTACTTGTTCCCTCACTAAGCCTGCAGGGAAAATTGCAGCTTTCCTCAGTGCCCATGTCTGAAGAGTCTAGCCCGCTCAGCTGCTGTAAAAAAGCAGAAGTGGGAGCAAGATTTTACTCCCACATCCTGCAATTGCATTGATGATATGCTGCTTTGTCCCTCAGCTGTGCTGGCTTTATATACCCCTGGAAGGTTCACAGAAAGGATTCTAAAAACAGCATACACATTTTTCAGTTGAATACATTACTACAACTTACTAACCGTGTTTTGATATTTTTGTTGCAATAACTTGCAATTATACACACAATTCTTCTAAATAGATTTTATTAGCACTACATCCAATTTGACTTGATACCTTTCTTGAAGTGCATTCTCCCCTCTCCCTCACCTCCCCACTCCCACCTCCAAGTTCTGAATTACAATATTGTAATTTGCACTTTCTGGTATTTTGACTATGCTGCCACTGTAATTTAGATGTCTGACAAGTCAATGTCATTCCTGAACCGAGCAAGACTGTGAATAACACTTGAAGCACAATATATTAACTATGCATAATACTTCCTTGACCCCACATTTGAAAACAAAAAAAAAAAAGAAAAAAGAAAGAGTAGAAGTCAATGAGTGACTTACTTTTGCATTCAGAGGGCACACAGACAATGCACTCCTAAAAAGCTGTTCTTCTGACCTCCACTGACTGCTGCGGAGCGCACAGCGCACAACATTGATCAACAAGATTCCAAGTACTGCCACAGCAAGAATTTTCTTAAGGAAAGAGAGGCAAGTTAAGAAACAAATCATGCAATTGAACTGCTTCATCATCAACAACTTTACTGATTATTTTGGTGGTACCTTTTTCTTGGCTTGCTTACTCAAGAGACTAAATCCATATGTAAAGAGAATACAATATCCAATACTGGGGAGGTAGATGACTCTCTCTGCAACAACAAATCCTACTCGGAAGAAGAGATTACTTGCAGGAAGAAAAGGGATAATAAGAAATCCAAGTCCCAGTGTAAGGATTCTGCAAACAAGAAACATTCTCAGGTTAACTACAAATCTTAACTAAAGTACCTTTTCCACTTAACATATAAACTTTATTTAAACATTGTAGAAGGATGTGCATATAGGACAGGGAAGCACTTTAAAAATCATTGCTATAATTTTCAGAAAAGCAATATTCATGCTTCCAGGCCAGAAAATAGCCCCATTGCATATTAATTATATAACTCCTGTTTAAAATACAGGAAAAGTAATGGTAAAAGCTATCTGTCTATTTTTGGACCTAGTAAGACAGTAATGGGAACAATAAATCACTGTTAAAGAAGAAACTTAGGTGCACATTCAACTGAGAGGGTGGTTTTTCTCCTAACAAACACATCAGTAGTAGAATCCATTGTGGTTAACCACTTGAAAGTTAGTAATCTATTCTCTTTCTACAGACAGAAGAGACACACAGCTTTTGAGAGCAGTTTGTTTCCTTTTTTTTGGCACCAATGTTAGCACCCTCAGCAGGTAGCTCTTTATGGACTATACGGAGCTCAGACAAAAGAGTCAGGGTTCCTCACTTTTACAGAGCTGACATAAGGGAATAAGAACCTCAGGTCCATGTTAGGTGTTTCTTACAAAGGCCACAGGCATGGCAATTGTCTATTCTAATTTATTACAAATGACTCTCTACACTGTAAGGTAGATGCATCCCACCTTTTCTCATCCCCACAAGTCCTAGGCCTTCCCTATACGTTTTATCTTCACTTTTTACTAAAAACCTATTTAGCAATAAAGGCTTAGTGAGTGCATTTTTACTAGAAAGTAGGACATGACTAGCAGCAAGAGTTCCACCCCCTCTCCAAAATGATTTATCTATGCAAATAACTATGGGAACAGCAGAAAAGCAGGCAGGTACACTGCTAACATTTGAAGGGATGAGAAGGAAGAAAAGAGTAAGATTTTGCACTCTGAACAAACACACAACTCTGAATTACCTATGTTGGTGATAAAAGGAAGACTGTGGAAAATGTGGAAGCATTTGGAAAGCCTGGCTACCCAGGACATGGAGAAGGCTGAGGTATTCCATGACTTTCTTGTCTCAGACTTCACCAGCAAGTGCTCCAACCCCACCGCTCAAGTCACATAAGGCAAAGGCAGAGACTGGGAGAACAAGAAACTGCCTGCTGTAGGAAAAGGTCAGATTCAAGAACATCTAAGGTGCACAACTCCATGGGATTTCGTAACGTGCACTTGCAGATCCCAAGGGAACTGATGGATGAAGTTTCTAAGATAGTGCTGAGCTCCTACCCATCGTACTTGAGAGGTCATGACAGTCTGCTGAAGTTCCTACTGACTAGAAAAGGGGAGACATAACCCTCATGTTTTAAACAGGGAAAAAGGCAGACTCAGGAAAATAGGTCAGTAGGTCACCTCTGTGCCTGGCAGGATCATGGAGCAGATCCTCCTGGAAAATATGCTAAGGCACCTGGAAAAGAAGGAGATGATTTGTGAAAGCCAATCTGGCTTCACTAAGGGAAAAATGTGCCTGACAAATTTTATAGCCTTCTACAAGGGAGTTACAGCATTGCCGGGTAAAGGAAGAGCAAGTGATATCATCCACCTGGACTTGTGCAAAGCATTTGACACTGTCCAGCATGACATCCTCATCTCTAAACTAGAGACATGGATTTGACAGCTGGGCCTCTTGGTGGCTAAGGAAGTGGCTGGATGGTTGCATGCATAGAGCTGCAGTCAATGGCTCAGCGTCCAGAGTCCAGTGACAAGTGGTGTTCCTCAAGGGCTGGCACTGGACTTGTGACCATGGTCACAGGGGTTTTCAGGATGAGAGAGAGACGAGAATGTTGACTCCATGATCAGAAGGCTTGATTTATTATTTTATGATATATATATTACATTATAACTATACTAAAAAGAATAGAAAGAAAGGTTCTCAGAAGGCTAGCCAAGAACAGAATAGAAAAAAATGAATAACAAAGATCTGTGTCTCGGCAGAGAGCGAGAGCCAGCTCTGCTGTGAGTGGTCAGTAAATCCAAACATCCACAGGAGACCAATCACAGATGCACCTGTTGCATTCCACAGCAGCAGATAACCATTGTTTACGCTTCGTTGCTGAAACTTCTCAGCTTCAGCAGGAAAAATCCTAATGAAAGGATTTTAATGAAAAGATGTCTGCGACAGGGACCGGCACTGTTTAACATCTTTGTCGGTGACATGGATGGTGGGACTGAGTGCACCCTCAGCAGGTTTGCCCACAACACCCAGCTGTGCAGTGGAGGGAAGGGATGCCATCCAGGGGCACCTGGATAGGATAGGTGGGCTGAGGCAAACCTCATGAAACCCAAGTGCAAGGTCTGGTACTTGGGTCAGTACAATCCCATGAACAAAGACGGGCTGGACAGAAAATGGGATGAGAGCAGCCCTGAGAAGGACTTGGGGGTGTTCAGTGATGAGAAGCTGAACATGACCCAGCGATGTGCACTTGCAGTGCAGAAAGCCAACCATATCCTGGCTTGCATCAAAGAGCACGGCCAGCAGGGCCAGGGAGGTGCTCCTGCCCCTCCTGCTCTGCTCTGGTGAAATCCCAGCTTGGAGTGCTGCCTCCAGCTCTGGGGCCCCCAAGATAAAGAGGACATGGACCTGCTGGAGTGAGTCCAGAGGTGGGCCATGAAGATGAGGACAGGGCTGCAGCACGTCTCCTATGAAGACAGGCTGAGAGAGGTGGAGTTGTGTATTCTGGAGAAAGAAGCGTCCAGGGAGACCTTCTAGCAACCTTCCAGAGAGCAACAAGAGACCTGGATATGGGCTTTTCAAAAGCACATGTAGTGATAGTGCCTCATTCCTGGAACTGTTCAAGGCCAGGATAAACAGGGCTTTAGAAACCTGATCTTATGAAAGGTGTCCCTGCCTGTGGCAGGGGGACTGGAACTACCTGACCTTTACGGTCTCTTCCAACTCAAACCATTCTATAACTGAGCAGTTGAAAAATTTCAAGGAACTGAGAAATTAGGTCTACATAAAATCAATGGTAACAGAACCTGCAAAGATAAGCAGAAGCCTTAGTGAGAAAGAACAGTTTACAATAATTTTTTTCGTTCCTTTGGGTGAGGTCCAAGTTGTTTTCTGAGTACATACTATGGGTCAAGCATTTTACTTTTAAACTGTATGACCATGGCCAGTATTTCTACCTGCTTTCAAAGTCCATCTCCTCTCTTCCATTATTAGGAGGAAATTAAAGGAAATGATGACTTGTAGGAAGTACGGGCAACAACAAACAATTTCCTACTGCATTTTGAGCACATATTACTTTTTACCACCTATAGTGTTAAGGATCTCAAAACACCCTTTCAGGAGAAAAAAAGAAAGCAGCCATCCATGCCTCCTCCTCCAACTCTGTTTCCTACTAGTTGGTGTACAGTGATGGACCCAAATTGGGATAAAACTGTAATGACAGCTATAAATATTTATTTGAACTGCATTTGCTAGACACTAGTTCCACTGAATTGTTAAAATTATCAGTAGTGGATTTAACAAAATAATACTGTACTCAAGTTGGCCAGGCATTTAAAATTCATCACTGTCTCTTACCTTCTCTTATGGCTGTCTTCTGAGCACAGAGCTTGGCATATCAGACCAATTAGGCAGAACCAAAGTGCTGCTAGTGCAATTATCCTCCAGTCGCTGACGGATTTAATGAGGGGTATGCAGCCCATTGACCAATCAAAACACAGCCACCAGGGACACAACAGCAACCATGCATTCAGTGAATAGTAGTAATTATAGTTTATAGCCTGTCAGTCAAAGAGAAAACAAACATTTATTTGATAGTAAACTTGGGGGGGGCGAAGAAGGGGGCAATTTTAGTCCATCTCTCTTCCCTCACTCCCCTTGTAACACAATAAAGAGGCCATGAATACTGTTAGACCACAACTATTTACATATCCATTACAATTACAGCTGTGAAGTTAATTTTTAATTTTCTTTTAAACATAGCTAGGTGGCTCTCTAGTTCAGAGCAGGGAAATGCAATTCTGTGCTGTCCAACCAATACTCATAGATAAAAAGAACAATCTCATACAACAGGAGAAAACATCAAAAGACATCATCCACTGTCTTCATCTTTGATTCTCCATCTCCAGAAAGATCCTTAATGCCATCAGAGGTGTGTAGGCAAGACATGCTCCATATACACCAGACTAGAACTTTGTGCTATTTTCTTTAGTTGTGAAAGATGAAAAGTCAAGCACAGTATGTGGAAAAGGGATGAAAATCAGCAAAAGCTAATTTCTTGCATGCATGGGAAAAATATGGAGTAAATGGAAAAGTATTGCAATGTGCATGCTAAATTGAATGCAAAGAATATACATGGTATACTATTAAAAAAAATTGCAGAGAATCACCACAGCAGCACAAGTGAAGGTGACGCATCACACATATTTTGAAATGTAAAAATTGCTCACTTTATTGTTTCTTAGAAACACAGAAAACTTAATTTTATCACAAAAGACAAAGGTTCTGAGCTGGCCAGAAAAAAGCAACTTTGTAACTTACTCTTACAAACAGACTGTCGGCGAATGAAGCCGGGTTGTCCACCTCAGTGAACGCTGGCGGCCCTGTGCCCATAATCCTCCAGCGGATATAAAGTATTCCAGCCCCTCCACACATCAACAGAGCTATCCTGAAAAGCAGCCCCTTCCTCAACAGCCCAGCATTCTACAGGAAAGAAAGAAAGAAAGAAAAAACTCCACCTCATATAGAAACAGTATTTGTTCTCTTACCCAACACATACACATCCTTTTCACCTCTGTCTCAGAAAGAAAAAAAGCTATTCCTGTGTGTTTTTGCTATTAGAGCTGACATTTTAATAGGAAAGTATTTCTTGCAAATATTTTAATTTCCTTCTCAATCAGTAAACAAAACTTGTTCCTTCAAGAAGACTCTTCTACAAATCCTCTGAAATTCTATAGCTGATATAGTTTTACATGGCAATTTCTGACAGGGAATTTGAGCAGAATACAGCTTTTAGTATACAGCATATTAAATTAATTTATCTTTTCTTTCTAAAATGGAGGATGAATACTTTGGGGACTTTGTTTTAAATAGCTATTTTCAGCTGTCTGCTTGTCATGGAAAAAATTTGTCCACTTAGGTATCTTTAGAGGTAAAATTACAGGTATGTACCAAGAAAAATGCACAGTTAGGAACTAGGAGGAATTAGAAACTGAATTAGAATTGTCACACTCAAAAACTTGATTAAAAAGCTAATGACAGAGAGGCACCCAAATCACTTACTTCAGGGTAAATGACCCAAGATCAGAAAAAGTATTAAATTGTGTTTGATCTATATTAACTCGGTTTACATCATGCATTTTATAATATACCCTCCAGGCTGTAAAGAAGGCAAGTCACATAAAACATAAAGAAATGATGGTGTAGACAGTAAATCTGACAGACTTTTATATCTTTTTCTCAGAACATATAACACTTTTCTCCAAGCACACATCATTTTCATTAAAAGAAAAACAAAACAAAACAACCAAACCAAACCCAAACGAAAAAACAAACCAGTGTACACTGTAGAGATTCTTCCAGCTTCACCAGTGGAGACTGGAAACAGAATCATCAATAAGTATAACAATACATCTGTCAAAGCTTTAAGATGGCACAGTAATTACGATTACCTTTTAGTGGACAATGCTCTTTAGCAAAGACCACCATAGTTGTTTAGTATATCAATATCAGGTATGTCTGAAGTATAAAAAAAAAAAAGGTAGGCTTCCTGAACAAAGATAGACATCAGTGCACTGGCTGAAGATACTTATTTTCTAAAAGGATGGAAAAGTTAAATTAAAAAACAATTTTCAGATTGCTTTTTTAGTATTTGTAATTGACAATGGAGTCATGATAAAATATTTAGTTGAATATCTAAGGATAAAGCAGTTTGTAATTTTGAGTTTACATAAGCAAGCCTTTGTGCTCAAATGATTGCTTCCAACATGGACATCTCAGTAACCAAAATTACTACAAGGAGGATTTAGGAATAGTTTTCCTATAAAACAGCTTTTGGACAAAATTGTGCTATGAAAGGAACCCACATATAGTGAATATTTATAACTGCTTTATGACAGATTAACAACAAAATCTCTTAGCCCAGGGCTTCGTTTCATTTAACAGTACATGCAGTCTCTTAAAGGCCAGATTTCACAATTGCCACAAAATCTCTCAGTAGGCAGAATGTGAAAGTGGAAGAAGTGTTATTGTATCCTCTCTGATTCAGAACGAACTGAAATCTGGCATGAAACTGAAACCTGTCTCAATCAAGAAGAAAAAAAATGTTCTTACTTGAAGAGTTTTTAGAATCTGCCTTTCAATAAAGCAAAAACATCTTAGATATACTTCCTTGAAAAGAGCAGAACAGATTTTTGCAGGTAACAGGAGCTAAAATTAATTACTTTTGCCAAAAGAATAAGAGAGAAAAGGCACATCTGATGTTTTCTTCACTGAAACAGAACCATTTAAAACTTCTTTTAAACAGAAGCACCACACTCTGAGCTCTTCATGCTTAAAAAGTAACCCTCCAAAAAGGTTTGCCTCTGACATTTCCTAGAATCATAGGGTTTGGGCTGGAAGGGATGCCATGGATATCTTTTGCTAGATCAGTTTGCTCAAAGCCCTGTCAAGTCTGGCCCAGAACACTTCCAGGGATGGGGTTCCACAACTTCTCTGGATAACCTGTCCCAGTGCCTCACCACCCTCATTGTAAAGAATTCATTACTGTCAAACACTGGAACAGGCTTCCTAGAAAGGTGGTCTCCTGAAGCCTTCTCTTCTCCATTCCAGAAGGTCACTGGATTAGACAGGCACAATCTGCACGTGGTGAAGCTGGGCTGGCTGTCTCCAGCCACCTCCCTGTCATTCATGTGTTTTGCCATAACTTCCAGGAGGATCTGTTCCATGATCTTACCAGGCACTGATGTGAGGCTGACTGGCCACTTATTCCTGAGATTCTACTTATTACCTTTTGTTTCCAGCACTTAATTCTGAACCAGCTCTGCTGTAGATCCCTACAGCTCTAGATGTCATATCCTTGTCATATTCCAGTTGACATTAGTCTCCTTATACAGCAAAACTCCCCAGCATTCCTATTTGCTGCCTGAAACACTCCTGTAGTCCTCACTTAGCCTTCTTGCTCAAATCTATTATTTCATTTCTAGAGAACCTACTTCCCCTGATTTCCCTTGCAGCTCATTTCACTCCTTGCAAAGGAATTTAAAAGCCCCACAGGACTCATGCCACTCAGAAACATTAGTAAGACTCCCCTGCAGTGAAACCACTGACTGAAGCAAAGTCCAAGGAATATTCTTTTGCCTTGTTGAATGCTGGATGAGAATCTTAGCTGTAGTAGGCTGTAGGTCTATTTGGCTGTTATCCATCATTGATCTGAGGCTGTTTCTGTTACTTGCTTGCCAGTGCCAATACTAGGTGCCAGGCTCCACTTGAGAAAATACCAGATAAATTGACATCAATAAAGTCAGAAAAATCAATCCCTAGCAACTATCAGTGCTTACCTAACTTTTTCTTTTAAACTACAAAGCTACTAGGACCTATTAACATAATGTTTTTAATGTACTTGTCTAACTCTGTCATTGAGAATCGGAATAAATCTCTCCCTCTCTTTATTCTGACCAAACCATTCTGAGTACCATTTCAGGTGTATAGTTACTGATCCTGGAGAACTTGTTGCATCAAGCAGTCAACTGTTCCATACAACATTTTTAACATATTGTTGAGAAAATTGTGGAAGGAGTTTTACTATTCAAAGTGATTCTAACAATACCCCATTACTACTCATGTTGCTGCAAAGATGCCTTACTAGGCTGACTAACAACACCTTTTTTGGTTGGTTGGTTGGTTTGGGTTTGTTTTTTCCTAATTCTCAACAACGACAAAACTGCCAGAAGTTGAATCTTTGTCTTTTAAGACATAACTGTCTGAATGGCCAGAATGAACAAAATCTGTAAGAATGAACAAAACACCCAAGGACTCACCTCCAATGACTTGCCTTTATACAGTAACTTTCGAATGAGCTCCAAAAGATTTATCTTGTTAATCACCAGTGCATCAAACACTGCATTCAAACCCTAAGGAGCCAAGAGAAAAAAACCAGCAAAAGATGAAGCAGCTAACCACAAATATTTTCTTTTAAATACATCCTGAATTGACTTACTGTACATCTTAATTCTGATTCCAAACAATTAGAGAGATACATTGGTAGCAATGATGGCAGAATGGTAAATGCAACTCAGAATAGCAGAACAACATTTTACTGTAATGAGAATTCTCCTGCTACATGGAATAACCCTTCAGGGAATACTATGCACCAGCAAGCTAGATAACATATGCATGGTCACAACAGAATTCTGCTCTCCATCTTCTTCCCCAAATGTTCTGCAGTGTAGATGCTGCAGTCAAAAGGTAAAGCTTCTATCAGTAAGGTGGAGTTTCTTTAAGCCTTCTACTTATTTTTTGTTGTATGGTATCTTTGGACTTCCAGGTTTCAGAAATGCTGTTTTTAAAGGGAACAGACAAAGGCTGAGAAAGATTTAACAGAGGTATCAGGCTTGCTTTCCTTGCAATTACAGCAATAAACACAGTGCAAGTTGCTGGGGAAAAAAAAATATTTCTATATGACATCAGCCACTACACATGAAACTAGAACATATTCAGTGCTTTCCAGGGCTACACTTGCACATAACTACCTCCAAGCAGGAAACCAAAATGTATAAATGTGTCCAGGGGTAATTCTGTTGAGGTTACTGGCAAAATCAAACCTTAGCATCTCAGCATTTCTGCTTCAAAGTTTCAGCATATCACCATGGTAATTCTTGAGTATTTATCCTATATTCTAATAATTTCACAAATTAACCAACAGTTCTAAAGACTAAATAGGAACAAAACCCAGTAAAACTAGTTCCAGGTGAAGCAAAGGGAGGCTGGTACACAGGGAGGCCACAAGCCCCTCACTAACAGTCAGACGGAAGGGACAGGAGATAGCTTAGAGTGTGGCTTGGTTCCATGTAGAAAGGCCACTTGGCAATTAAAAGGCTTTTGGCTCACTCAGATGGAAATAGGAAGGCAAGAATTCGACTGAAAATCACATTCAGCCTCCAAGTAATCTTTTTAATGGGTGATTTAGCCCTTTATCCCTCTGACCTGTGCCCCTTAGCACAACAGTAAATATAATCATCCTAGCAGTGCAACAGCAAACAAATAAAATCCCAAATCCAGTAATAGTTCTGCATCTTATAGCTCAAATAGTTACTTCATACTGCTAGAATAAATTACACATTTTAAGACAATCCCTTATGCTTTCTTTACAGACACCTTTGGAAAACACATCACACATCTACAAACATCTATCAAAAAAATATCCCAAATCAAGAAGTTTTCTGTAATTTCTTTTCCCTTTTCTTCTAGCAAGGACAAGAGGGTCATTGCTGCAAAGAATTTTCTGACTCTGTTCTTATCTATGTCAGCTAAAGCTATAAACTGGATTATTAATAAAGACATATGGCTATATAAAAGGTAAAAATCACAGATACAGCATTTCAGGTGGCCAGTTTGGTCACCCAAACCAGCATTGTCTTCACTGAAGTTATAAAAAGCCAGACCACAATAAACATGAACAACAACTACATCTGTTTCCACAGACAGATCATTAAATAAGGGACAAAAGGAAGAAATGCAGTACTAGAAGTGCTAATTAGGCCACAATATAATTATAATTAGGGCCATAAACAATGGCCCTAATTGTAATTACACTGTTCACAAAAGCAAGGGAATGGAGCTTTTAAAAATGCTCTCCTCCAGTTATATCTTTGTTCATGAGCCTTCTCTTCACAAGAAGTTTGTAGTCCTGCTATGTCAAGAATTTAATTAAAAACCAAGGGCAACAAAAGTGAAACTAATGTTGTAAACTCTTTAAGCTTTGCAAAAATATCTGCAACCTGCTTACAAAAGCTAAAGTGAAGAACTCTACCAAATTGGCAAAGATACAGTTAAGATGAATCTATGAGAATACTGCTTTTTGTCAACATTAATTAGTTTTCTGAACAGAATATAAAGGTGTGCATGTCATTAGCTGTGGAGAAGATTAATTTCTGTAGACTTTGCAACTATACCTGACAGATGTTGAGGTGAAAATTCAGTTAATAAGAGAATTCTTACCAGTATTGTAATTCCTTGTTCTTTGCACAGCATGGCTATTGCACCTAGGACAACACTCACCAGCACCCAGAATACAGAAAATGTATGTCCTTCCTTATCTGTTAAAATAAAGAATGCCATAGCTTTAGGCATTTTATACATTTAAAGGTAAATTAAAAAAAAATTTCAAAAATAAACAGCATTTAGTATCGCAGTCTTTTCTACCAGTTAAGATCTGGACACGCAGACTTAAAAAGCATAGGGCACCTCCTGCAATATGCTGGCATTTGTCCCTTTATTGCAGTCATTTTCTGCTCTTGGAGACATTAGAAATGTTCCTATTTGCTTGATGTTTTAGCCAGATTAATTAGAATGGCAGAAGCCTCACCTAATTTCCACAATTTGTCATCTGCAAAGGTTAATTCCCAATATTTAGAGATATTTATCATCCTTAGCTAGAGCTCTGTCATTACTGGCCACTGTCTTCCTACCATAGGAAGCTACCATAAGAGCAGGAAATTCTTTATAATGGTTACTCATGAAGTGTCACACACACAAACTGTTTTAACTGCAGTCTAGTCTACAAAGGCGCAATGAGCTGCTTCTCCAGACCTGCTGCATTTAGCAAGTGCCTCATGTCATTTTATTATCACTGCAATAGAATGCCATGGAGCTCAGAAATGTCAGCAGCTGAGCAGAAGCAGTTAGTCCTTGCACTCAGGAAGCAGTTTTACAGCAGGGTGAGGAACTCTGGGGTTAAGAGATCAGGAGCCACTACAGCTTCTACTCAAAGGAAAACTCTTTAAAGACTGTACCATGTAGCAGATTTTGGATACTACAAGCAGGCATATGTGAGATGAATAACACAATCAACCCTACTTCAGCCAAGGTGCTATCACACACAGAATACACAGGTATTCTATCACATAAAAAACATATCTGTCACAACCTCTACTCCATAGGTGCAAGCAGCAGAGGAAGGCACTCTGCTCATTCAGAGGCAGGTTCTTGATTCAAGTAACAGGGGCCCTACAGGCATCACAAGAATCAATCTTTGACTTGGTGTGTGCAAAAACAAAGCTGAACTCTGCATTCATTGACTGAATCCCTTTCTTACTTTCCTTGATCCCTAGAGCAGTTCTTCTGTACTGCTAATGCAGGTTTGACCCTCAGTGCTTAAAGAGAACTGCAATAATGGTCTGTGGAAAGGGTAAATGGCAAGATTAAGCTATTTCACCAGAAGTAGAAACCTACACCTCAGCCGGTACACTAGGCTTCCTTTATAACTGTCCATGACAAGAGGACACTTTTAGGGATTAAGTTACCTAATTAAATGCAGCTGAACCCCCTTCAGAGATGTAACTCTGCACTGATGATACAGGGAAACCAGTAAACCTCAACCTCAAATGTTGTTGGGGTCAGATACAAATCATAACCATAAGTGTGAAAAGGATCTGCTGACATTGGCCTCCTCTTTCATTTTGAACCAGGCTACTTCTTTTGTAACAGAGAGCTCCAAACTTTTAATACAAATATGTCAAAGAACAGGTTTTGAGGTTACTTCTAACCTAAAAAAACCCTTTCTTACCTAAGACTTCTAAAGCTTCAACAGAGTGAATATCATATTGTTGCAATACATAGAGGGAATTTGATCCTTCTCCCTCCACTCCAAATTATGTCTCCAGAGGTGAAGTAAAACTTAACATTAGAGGTGCAAATGTTATAAAGATTAAAAAAAGTCTTCTTTTAGGAAAGAAGTCATACACATTTGAATAATGCAAAAAAAAAAAAAAGCCAAGACAATACAAAATACACAATGACTAAAGAGACATTGGAAGTAGAAAAATTAAAATGCAATGGGAAACTCCAGCCCACATCAATTATACAGAGGAACAGCTAAGGGCTGTAACTCCTGGAAGAAAGAGCTTCAACATTCTTTCTATGAGTACTGCTAAGACAAAGAATTCTGTCTAAATACATCCCTTCAAGGAGCTTTTCAGACTTTGCAGTACAAGACTGTTTAGCCAGGTCTTGAAAACCACTTTTGGTGGGTTTTTTGTTCATTTGTTTGTTTTGGCATTTTTGTTGTTGTTTTGTTTTTTTTTTTAATGTAGAAATCAACTAGCACAGAGAATGCAAGGACAGAAGACAAAGTAATTGACTGTGTTCACAAAATGACTATCAACCATCCTTAGTAAGTCTAAAAAGGAAAATAGTGAAGACAGCCAATGCACATTTACTGTGTTTATGGAAGTAGACTTTCTTCCATTGAGAGGTTTCTTCTTCTCAGAATCAAATTCTAGTGGGAAGGAGTCAGGACAACTAAGCACTTCTCAGAGAAGCAGTATTCAGTACACAAATACAAATTATCTTAACACAAAAGATAGTAGGAAATATATATAGTAAGAGGCCAGCTGGCAATTCAGAAATGCTTTGATGATTCAAAATATAAGAGTAATAGTAAAAAGGGAACTAGGCCAAATCATCAAGGACAAATGTAAAAGCAGCACATTCACACAGAAAATCTAACACAGAAAGGTCACATTGCAAAATGAGAAAAGGTAATGTATGTAAAGAACAAATCCCCACAATTCCACAGATATATTAGTAAGAAGAGTAGTGAGGAAGGAGTTATTCCAATATTCACTGAGAAATAAAATGGACAATGCCAAGAAAACAGAAGTGTTCTATGCCTACTTCCTTCATTTTTTCCCAAAAATGCAATCAGATGGCAAGTACAGCATCAGCAGAAAGGGAGGAAGAACAAAAGCAAAAACAGTGAACTACAGGACAGAATTCATAGACAAGTTAATGTGTTTTAAATTACAATTGGTTACAGTCACTCAACAGGTCCTATACAACCCAGAGTAACCTCAACTGTTACCTCAGAAATAATGAAAAATACATGAGAATCCAGGAATCTCAAATAAAATAAAACAATGCCTTCATTTCTACTTTTGAAAAGGAACAAAAATACACAAGGATAGACTACAGATACAAAGCTAGGCTGATTGGTCAAAATTACAAAAAAATCACTACACCTAGACAAAACATTTTCTAGGTGACACTCTAAAACATAAAAGAATATGATTAATTGCTTGCCAAATATTTTAGTCATTTATATAGAACTAAGTATAACTCTTGACTTGGACAGAAAAAAAGTCCTCCTGATAAAAGGAAATCTGTAAACATCCTATGCCTTGACTTTGCAAAGGCATGAGAATAACACTGGAAGCAGTGTGAAATATGCCACAAAAAATAAGGGCTACATGAAGTTGTTATAGAATGGGGATAAATATCAGCTGGAAAACTAGAGTAAGATACCAGCTTGCTGTGAAAAAAAGTAAAGATAACATTCTGTACTGTATTCTTCCTTTGTCCTTACTCCATTTGGATGTTAGAATAAGAAATAGGCATATTAAGACCAGAAGTGCTGCCAGGCTGCAATGGCCAGGAATCATACAAAGGAGAAGTCAGAATTCCATTGGCAAACTGGAAAAAACAGAGAATCATGTAATAGCTTGAAGGGACCTTATGGGTCACCTGATTCCAAACCTCTGCCATGGGCAGGGACACCTTCCCTCAGACCAGGTTGCACAGAGCACCATCCAATCCAGCCTGGAGAAATGGTCTAACCAAATAAAGGAAAACTGAGGCCATTCAGAGGGCACAAGCTCAAAGTTGTGCATAAACAAGTTTGTCTTTGTGTGAACATCCCAAGTCTCAGATGCAAGAAATATCTCAGCTTGCCCAGCAAAGCCAAGCTTAAGCATGGACTTGCAAAGATGATAAAAACACACAGCAAAAGAGAAATAATATTCTCCTTAGGACCTTAGAGAAGGTCCTAAATATTGAGCATCAAAGACTTGGACTTCAATAAGGCCTTTCACAGCCTCCCATAAGATCCTCACTGAGAAGCTGCTGCTGAACAGGCTGGATGTGCAGACAGTGAGGTGGACTGAAAGCTATCAGAATGGCTTCTCTAGAGGGTGGTGGTCAGTGGCTCTAATCAAAGGCCAGGGGTACTCAGGGGTCAGTACTGGGTCCAGTCCTATTCAACATCTTCATTAATGACTTGGATGATGGGGCAGAGGGCACCCTCAGTACATTTGCTGAGGACACCGAGCTGGGGGGAGTGGCTGATACACCAGGGGGTTGTGCTGCCATACAGAAGGACCTTGTCAGGCTGGAGAAATGGTCTGGCAGCAACCTCACATGGTTTAATGAGGGGAACTGCAAAATCCTGCAGTAAAGCCTCCTGGACAATTGGCTCTAGGCGACCCTGTGTGGGCAGGTCAGATGACCTCGAGACTACTCCAACTTCAAACACTCTGTGATTCTGTAAACAAGATCTCCTGAAAAGCACAATCTCTGTACCTTTGTTTTCTTTTGCAGGCTCAAAAAATCAACAGTTATTCACAGAATTGTAATATTATCAAAATTCATCAGTGATTAAACTTCAAAGAGAAAGAATTTTAATTAATAAACATTTTATTTCATGCTTGTTCCTGGGTCAATATGCACAACACCCCTTCATCCCCACCACCCCCAGTCTCAACTGCAGAAATCTCAGTAAACTCGGCTGCAAAACAGATACAAAAGACCACCATTCACCAATGCCTTCAATTTAATCTTTTTTTTTTAACAGTGAGTTAAAATGTAAAGCACTGCACAAGTGCTTATTATGAGATATTCACATGCCAACAGAAGTAATCAGTCTAACAAAGCATATTCCCCTAATATGGTGCTGCTTCCCACCAGAAAAATCTTGTGTCAGAAAACGAAACTGATCTCTCATTGGCACCTGTGCCTGGTTGAAACTGGTACACCATATTGTGAGTGGGCATCTTGCCACTCTAACAGATGGACAAAATTGTAAGCATGCCAAAGAAATTGAGTACTTGCTTATTTTTCTTTTAAGCTGGAAAAAATATAGTGTTTCTACACAAACCCAAAAAGCGTTGCTCAGATGGTCCCTCTTTAGGAGTACATGAAGTCTGGAAGTTGAGAGGATTCAATAAAATACCTATGTAAACCATAAACAAGCCATGAGAGCTCCTCCATTTAGACTGCTAGACTCGAGTATAAGCATCTCTAGGGCAAGGATGCATACACAAAA